ATGCTCCATCCAGAATTGTAGAAGAGGCTTCAGAGGATTGACAGGGTGTATTGTGTGGAAAACCTATTTTATAGACACCAAACAGGGTAGAGAACCATATATATCTCAGAAGCTAAGCCTGTGAGGAATTGTAAGGAGGGTTTTGGTGTTGTAGAAGACTTTGTTGTGTGGAAAGGCAAACACGCTAGAAATCTGAGAGCGTGCCCAAGGCAGGTTTAAAGATATATACTGATACTATTTTAATAGTTGGAGGCTATAAAATGCACAATCCAGCATTGTACAAGAGAATTTAGATCATTGACATGGTTTTACGTGTGGAAAACCCAGTTTATAGAGACCAAGCAGGGAACCCTGTGTTTCAGGTGAAGCGCCGACCACTCCACCCAGAGTAGAGATGGTTGGCGGTTGCAGAAGAGCGATGAGGCAACCTTCAACAACAGCAGCACAGAGAATTGCTAACCTAAGGAACCGTGTCCAGCAAGCCATGGAAGAGGCGGCGTGGGAGAGCAATCAGGTGCAGATGGAGAAGAAGAGTGCAAAGATGAAGGGGAAGGCAAAAGGCAGAGGGAAAGGGAAAGGTCAGAAGAGAAAGGAAAAACAGTTCGAGAAGGGCCAGAAGCAGAAGCACGTGCAAGAGCCGGAAAATGAGGAGGAGGACGAAGAGCCAGATGAACCAGAAGAGCCAGAGGAAGCAGATGATGAATCAAATGATCTAGAGCAGAAAGACAAGACTGAGAAGCAGAAAGCTCGCAAAAGACGAAAGCGAAGAAGAACTTGTCAGAAAAAGACATTGAGTGACTATGACAAAAAGATCAAAGTTGTGAAGAGACACTTGGCAGCCTTGGGGGTGACATGGCAGAGGTCTCAATATATGCACTCCCGGAGGCCTGTGTGCCCAGAGGACATGTCATGCAAGAAACAAGGCGGTTTCCTGCACATGCAAAAGCAGCTGGCCGAGGCCAACCTGGAGGAGATCAAGTGCAAAACATGCTTAGCGATGCTGAGCGAGGCAAAATTTGACGAAGACACTTTGAGGCAGGAAGTGAAGGAGATCATGGGGGACGTGTGGAAGTCACCTCTTCAAAGATTGAAGGAGTCTTTGCAGAGCTTGGAGAATTCCTGTCCGGATGGTGACGCCCAGCCAGCATTGCAAGCAGGAGAGGAAACTATGCCATTGCCAATTCAAGATGTGGCCCCAGGTGAAGCGAGCCTTGGTGCTGCCGAGCTTCCTGAGAGCAGTGAGCCTCCCCCACCTCCTGTCAAGAAGAGTCGCCCCAAGACAAAGCTTACAGAAGAAGAGTTGCAAGAGGAGGAGAAGGCTTGCATTGAATTCATTGGAAAAATGAAAGTTCTTGAGATCTTGCAGCCAGGAACTTGTGGAAAGAAGGTGCCTCTTCGCTGCAAGGTGTGCAAAAGCAGCGGCCAGCCAAATGGAAAAGTGTTTGAATGTCACCGCATGATTAGGCAAGATGTAGAGCATTGGGTGGATCAACACCTTCGAGGGACCACGCACATGGCAGCCTTCGACAGGTGGAGGGCTGCAGGGGAACCCAGTGGAATGGAGGTGGAACAACCAGTCCTGGACGATGCTCCACTTGCTCCTTGCGAAGGAGCGTCGCTAACCCATGGCGATGAGCGACTTTCTTCTTTCAAAGTAGAGTTCAAGCTTTGGGCTTCTCACAGCAAGCTTTCTTCGGCACTTTCCAAGCACCAGTACAAGTACAACCTTGCTTCAGAGGAGCTGTTGCTGTACCACTCCAATTGCTCAAAGTTTGTGCGTTCGACATCCCATTCAGACGGTCAACGTGCCGTTTGCAGATCTTGCTCTTCAGGTCCACATATCCTGACCAGCGTGAAGAACATGATCAGATTCTGCACCAAGTATTGGCTCGCCAAGGTCTTGCATTCGCGACTCTTCCGCTCAGACGAAGCCAGAGAACAGTTGCTTGAAGAGCTCACATCCACGAACTTGTACCGGATGCACAAGGCCAACATCGATGAAAAGTTGAAGATGAACAATGGTGACTTGCAGACCTTTGTCAGGAATTCCTTCATGAAGATACCAAAGGACAGGAGTCTATAAATTGCATAGGCTGTGAGTGTAGAGGTGCACATGAAGAGGTGATGTATGGCAATACAATGCAAACCCATTTTATAGAGTTCAGATCTGAATGTGTTTCCTGCAACAAGGCAAGATAAGAGGCTTATAAAGTGGACTGGATGCAAGTGTAGAGCAGAATTGGAAGGGGATTGAACAGTTCATGTTTTACGTGTCATTTTGTAGTGGCTTAGATTTTGACAATCTCCTTGGTTAACACCTGCTCGCATTTTCAGATTCTTTCCATTTCTGTTGTATAGTGTAACTGTCTTGAGTGAGACGGTGCGAGGAGCAAACCAACCAGCCATTGGAGGAATTCATGGACCGGATTGTGCACCCGTGCTTGTCGGTCCAAGTTGCTGATGCAAACCCAGAGCTACGCCACCTTTCCAACCAATTGGCAGCAACACTGGCTACCAACCAGTTGGGGGAGTGGTCTCAACTGTCTGCAAGGCTTGCGCAGGCTTGCTGCGCCGGACGCCTGCAGCAGAGACCTGCGTTTGTCGGACTGCTCTGCCAGTTTTTGGACCTCATAGACCGGGAGGATCGAGGCGTCATGACGCTCAAGAAGCCTCGGCAGATGTCAGAGAAGGAAAGGGAGATGGTTCTTGAAGCATCCACATTACTGGCTCTCAACGGGGTTGGAGAGCAGGTGATGCGATCCTTTGGCTTTTCCAAGAGGCAGATCTTGAGAGCAGAAGGTCGAGCCACGAACTTGCTGGCGCAGGGTCTTCCGTGTGGGGCGCTTGCTTTGCTGGACAAGGAGACTATGTCTACAAATGCAACACTCATCGACAGCCTTGCGCCAAGGACACCGGAGCAGCCTGCTCGCAGGTTTTGTCTATGCTTTGACTTTACCTACCTGGCAAAGCAGCGCGCGCAAATGATGCTCTTCAACAAACATGGTGTGGTGGGAGCACCATTCTGCATGGGTGATTTGAATGCAGACAAGGTTGCGCCAGGATGTTTCCAACCAATTGATGCGAACGGAAAGTGCCGATTGATTGAGCAGCAGAAAGCCAATCGAGTGTGACGTGGTGGCACAATGGCATAATGATGCATAATAATGCACATATATGCGCATATATCTGCAAAATAATTTGTTGAGGCACATAGGGCCTCTATGAAATGCTAAGACTATGAAAGACAAATTCCTTTGGCATCATTCACGTAATGTATATATATGTAGTGCATTTTATAGGAAGTTTCTTGTAGTTTGTGTTTGACGAGGATGGAATTCCTCATGTGGGACCCTACTGGCAAGCACATTTACCCATGGTCTGCAACATCGTTGCCTATCAGCTTGAAGTGGCTGAACGGAGAGCAGACAGATAGCACCTTCGCCCCTTGCTTTCCAACTGTTTAAAAGTTTAGTAGCTTAGCAAGGACGGTTCGGGCAAGCCGGGGGAGTGGAATCCAGAAACATCATATATCATCATATATATGAAATATATATCTGTAGTGTATAGTAGTGTAATGACAATCTGTTATTGGAGAATCAGTTGATCTCAACGAGGAAATCTTGAGAATGGTAGATGCGTTCTTGGAGCATGATGTCGGGAGCCTTTGCCGCGTCCTGGTTTCTGATGGTGAAGGTTGCAATTTGATGATTCGGCGGGCAATCCTTGGACAATTGAATGCGGCTGAGATGAAGAGGGTGGAAAGGCTGAACTGGTTCAGCCGACTGAAGCATGCCCAGGTTCCAGGAGTGGATGGTTGGCCACGCTTCCCAATCAAATTGCGCACCATTGGGAACGAGAACGTCTACTTCCTCTCGGGACCTGCCCACTCAATCAAGAATTCATGTGGGCAAGCTGCCTCCAGCATTCGAGTTCTTTACTGCGGGTCATATTTCGTGGACGGTGCTGGCATGCTTGAAAACCATGTTCCCCTTCCTGCATACGCAAGAGTTGATCCCATGAGCGACAGGTTGAGCGCGCTCTTCAATTGCCCAATGTTTTTGATTTGCCCTGATTCTCGGCAATAGAGAAGACAAACCTAAACAAAAGAGGAGCCATTTCAGCATTTGGATGGTATAAAATGCATAACCTACCATTGTAGAAGAGAATCTAGAATATTGATAGGGTTTGATGTGTAGAAAACCCATTTTATAGCGATCAGAAAAGGATTTATATCTTAGAAACCTCAGAACATGTGTAGGGGCAGGTTCAGAGATACTGGGACCATTTCAACAATTGGAGTCTATAAAATGCAAAATCCAGCATTGTAGAATAGGATTTTGAGGATTAAGAGGGTTTAACCTGTGGGAAAACCATTTTATAGAGACCATAGAGACATCAGAAAACAAGTTTCTATGTGGGAGACTAGGTAAGGAGGACTGGGGGGTATCGAGCCAGAGCTTGCAGCATGCATATGAGGACTCTGAGCAGAGCGTGCATGTGCCCTGGCACTTGCGGGGCCTATTGCTTTGGAATCTCACCTGTGCTTTGTGCTGTGTGCCTTACCTGCACTTGGTACAGGCAGATGTAGGCGGATTGAAATTGTGGTTGTTTCATTTTGTTTCTTTGAATTCTTTGGATGTCTTTTGTTTGGTATTGCTAGAGTATTTGTGGGTTTTTGAATGCTCCAGTGATGATTTGTGAGGCTCCAGCGCTCCATGGTGGTCTTGGTTTGTCCCAGCGGGTAGAGCTTTCGTTAGCTGGCTTCTTGCTTCAAGACTTGTGGAAGATTCTTGCCCGACGACGTGAGATCCGATCAGGTGTCAAAAAAGGACAGCATTGGATGGCGCCGCAAACCACGGCAGGGCTTCAATCCATCGCCCTCACCATTGCGACCATGTGCTTGAGCAAGACGGGAACGTGGAATCCATGGAACAAGAAGGCGCAATGCCTTTCAGAAATACACATCGAACGTCATTTTGGACGCATCAGATCTATGAGCCAATCAGGGGATGTAACCATCAGATCATATTGGGCATATGCTGCAGCACAGGCACGCAAGCAGCTGTTCAATATGAAGAAGCATTCCAAAGAGATTCCAGCTACCGACGACATCCCCGCATTGTCTGCTGCAGAGCTGCTTGCCAATTTTTACTATTTTATTGTACCATACTGTATCCATTTGTATCCAATTTCTGTATAAAATGGCTTTTCTTTATTTCTAAACGTTTTGAGACAGTTTTGGAAGGTTGCTACCTACTGTTTTCATTCTATAGAGGCCAAATGAAACATTCATACTCTATCATACTCATTCATACTCTATATTACTCAATGACTATTTGATTCTATATGTCTATTGGTGATTATTGGTGTATTTTACCAATCTTATATGTCTTTAAAACTCTTTAAATGTATGTAATTGTCTTTACACTTTGTATTAAATGCCTCTATCTTTTCCACCTGGGATTGTAAAAGCTTTTGACAAACAGATTTTAGGGTATGCCATTTTATAGTAGGTAACGTACCCATTTTACATTTTTGGATTGTCAGGTTCCAGCAATGTGCAGACCGTGCATGGGCAGCGGCTTTCAAGCTGGCATCAGATGCTGCAGGCATTTCGCCAGCGAGCCTTGAGGCATTCTACCGCATGGAAGCTGCAGACTTGGAGGATGGTGCCGAAGAGGAGGATGACGGAGGTTTGGTTGAGGCTCTTGAGGGTCAGATTGAGGCAGGGGTAGAAGAGCAGGCTGCGGAAAACGATCTGGACAATGTCTTGCATCAGATCCACGATGTAGCCGTGCAGGAAGAACAGTGGGCCGAGGTAGAAGGTGATTGCTTTCCCATGGGCGAGACGGACACAGACCTCAAGATTCCTGACGGGGAGCAGCTCATTAGCTTGATGAATGCTGAGGATGAAGAAGATGCTTCGGAGTGCCCACAAAATTTGTGCCCACCGAAGACTTTGACTGAAGCTTTGCCTTTCGACTTACTTCAGAGTTGTCAAGGGGCAAGCTGTCAATTTGTAAAATATCATTTGGGAAGATTTGGGACTCATTTTATAGGACTGCGTTTGATATTGCGCTTGTTAGATTTTCGCACCCTCATTGTTTCGCACCCATTTTATAGCAACCAAGGTCTCAGAAAGGCAACTTGTTCACCAATCTGTGGCTGCTGACCAATTATTTGCGTGGAGGAAAGTATGGTATGGACAGTGAATATTTGCGCAAGGGAGAAACCATTCGCCAGCGCTCCCGGAAGTTGAATTGGCAGCAGCTTCTTGACACAAACAATCACAATTTTTCACGATCTTACATGATCTTACAATATCTTACATGTCTTTTGCTAGACTTTCCTGATCATTTTGTTAGGACGCTCGAGCACGAGTTGAAGGAGATGCGTGTGCTGCAGGAGGATGAAGTCATTGAGGGTCAGAAGGGTTCCAGGATGTCCAAGTGGATTGCAAATGCCAAGCGGGAATTCGATTCTCGAGGTGTGGCAGCCCCCGAGAAGCTGCAGACACTTGCCTTCAGCCAATATCACGATAACATACAGATAACATCTGATAATATCTGATAATATATTATATATATTTTGTTTCTTTCACAATCTATATATTTCATTATAATTCTCCATATTGTAATTCTATAAAATGCTCAGCTTGGAAACACCTAATGAGGCCTAGACATCATGTTTTAAACATGTGACATGATATTCATTTTATAGAGTCATTGAACAAATTGTATGTGTCTCATTTGGTAGAGGTGGCTGCATTTTATAGATTTTTTTGTTTCTATAAAATACCCACACATCACCAGACTAGTGAGCACTAAGTTAGAAACACTAACATGTCAATGCAAAATCCATTTTATAGAGTCACAATTGTTTTTTCCATATGCGACATTGGAGTGTATTTTTCATTCCACTTCCAAATGTGTCCTTTCTACTTTTGGTAATTCAAACTCAGGACTGGTATGATTGTGGGACTCATTGTGGGAGAGGATGACCTGATGAAGCCATACATGGTTTTGACACTGTGGTCGCGCGGGCAGAAGCCCAAGATTTCTTCGGCGGAAATTCCTTTGGGCTTAGTTCATGTCTTCAGAGCCGTGCTTTTGAAGCCGAAAGAGCACCAGGAAAGTCAAGAGGTCCTGGAAGCCAGTGACTTTTGCGCAATCTTCCGACCAGAAAATGTCTTCACCATTTTGGACTGTGCTTCCAGGAACCACCACATGGGGACGATCACGATCACTCCAGAATCAGCAGAGATTCTTGATCACTTGAGCGGTATTGCTTTGAAGGCTCCTGTGCGCGTGGGTGCCAAAAAGAGAGCAGCCACAGCAGGATCTCAGGGGCCTGGCAAAAAGACTAAGGCGGACCCCAAGAAAGTAGTGTCTGATTCGGGAGGGGCAGGTGCGCCCGCAGCAGATCCCAAGGAGGCAAATTCGAACAAGAAAGCCAAGCTTGTTTCGAAGCAGGCAGAGGCTGATGTTGACGGAGCAGATCCGGCCTTGGGGTTCCTGGCCCAGCAGAAGGAATCTAAGAAGAGTATCAAGGCCGCACAGAAAGCAGAGAAGCTCAAACAAGACGAAAACATCTCCGCGAACGATATCAGACGATCCCAAGCAGGACGCAAGGCCGTGCAGAAGTTTGCAGCACGCATCATGGATCTTGAGAAGTCAGTTTTTTTAGATTCTCCGACGTTCAGTAACAGCGGTTGGTGCAACCTAAAAGGTGCGTCAGAGCTTTCCGCCAAGTCTGTAATTGGCAGGCTTCCGCGTTACTTTGAATGCAGATTCTATAAAGCAAATGTGACGCAGTATGGTGAACTTGTGTTCAATCTGCTTCATGAAATCTGGCAAGAATTGTCGGAGAAGTCGCCTGTCCGAACAAAATGGACAAGCCTAATTCGTGATGTCATCAAGAGTGGGGTGGCTACCACGGTTGAGATGTAGGATTTGTCAATGAAAGTTCATGCTGTGAAGGCTTGTGATTTTTCGAGTCACGATCTGGATTGTTTCTGGACTTGTCAGACGTGAGGTAGGTATCAACAGATGGATTAGAGATCTACTGTAAGCCCATGTAAGCCTTCAGTTCCTGTAGTTATTATTTTGTGGTTTTTGTTTATTCAGACGTGGCATTTGCTCGCTGGCCTGGAACGTTGGCACAGAACTCAGGGGACAAAAAAGGACCGAGCTGAACTTCTTGGATCTGCTATGAAGGTGTTGTCAACCCATTTTATAGTCCGATTGTGTTTTCGGTGTTTTTCACTTGATAGTAATTTTATAAGCTTTCCCTCTTTCTCTCTAGATGTATACTGGGTGATCTATGTTTATCATTTTATAGGGATCTCCTTGTATGTATTAAGGCACTTTATAGCAGTCCACTGAAGTTGCCTGTGCATCTGGATTTACATTTTATAGTGCACGTCTGTGTTGATGTTTATGCATTTTATAGAGATGTATGTCTTGACATCCATTTTATACCACCTATTTCAGTATAAAATGACCGACAAAACACCCAACCCAACACCCACAGGGGATGTTGTTGTTGTTGTTCATTACAGCGCGGCTTCAAATACTGTACACGTCGGCATTGGTTCGTCCAACATCCCATCGGCTCCGAGACGTTCAGGCGGCTAAGCGGAAGGCAAGTGTGAGCCAAGGTGTGGCCAAGAAGCGCCGAACAGCTGCGTAAGATCGCGTAGGAGTTGCAGTGCAGGGTGCGGCAGGGTGGCTAGCTTCGGCTGAGGGGAGGCTAGTGAGGCAGCCATTGGATGCCACAGGAACAGTTGTGCAAGACACATCTTGGACAGCATTTGATCAATCCTACCCATGGAAAACCCGACATGCAGGAGGATGAGCAACGTGCTTTGCAATGTGTTATGTATACATCCAGTGCTGTTGCCTTGACTAGCACAATGTGCCGAAGCGAAAACTACTCGTGCCTCTTGACTTTTTGCTGATGTGGATGATTTAGACGATGTGGCTGGTTCGAGTCAACCATGGTGACTCATCTGGCTCAGACGCTAAGATGAGATTTTGGAATGTTTGGAGGCTTGGCGACGTCCAAGCCTGCATCGGCAGTGCGCAGCCGTCACGGGAGCTCACTAGGGAGGCAAGTGTGAAATGATGTGAAATGACCTTCAATTTCAATGTGCTTTTTGGGGTTCTTGAACAACTCCAGTGTTGGATCAGCCTTCCTAGATTTTTGCAATGACTACCATGAATGACGCGATTCATGGACTAAACAGTTCCAAAAGACTAAGAGTTCAGATTATGTGCAGGAATGGGGCGCTCAGTCTCACTGGGCCTCGCTAGTGCAAATGCCGGCCATCACTGCCAAATCGTTTTTTTGCCGTGTAGATTTTGAACGTGCCAACGTCATCACCAAGGTCTCCGCCTAGGAGTGACACTTGGGAGGATTTGGCACTGTGACAGCTTTGCGTAGCTACATCACTGGAGTATGAGTCAACTTTCACCCTAAGCGCAGATGTCGAAGAGGTGCTTTATTTCCGAACGCGGCGCAAGCATGCCTAAGCCCTAAGCCGAGAACCAGACATGGATTAAACCCATGAATCTCCTGTCACAGTACATAGTTGCACAGGCTGCACAGCAGTCTTTGCAAGCAAGCGTTTACATGGTCTGGCAAAACACGGCAGGACGGTGAAGGTGAACATGAATTCATATTTGGTCGCCCTTCTGGTTCAAGATTTACTGTATATAGAAAGCCACCTGACCTGCACGAAAAACTCGATGAACAGCAGGCTCCCCTCGGTGAAGATTCAAGAAGCATTGTGCTGGTCGCATTGTTTTGGATCCCGCACGGCTGTGGTGCTCACCTGATTTCTGCTGAAGCCGCACTTGCTAAGGTTTTTTAGGGGGATCGAAGAATCAGCAGGTGGCTTCACCCTTCGAGCCAGCGAGCCATGCAGTGCATTTGTGGAGGTCCCTCCTCCTGGGTGCGGTTGCCAAAACTGTCAGCTGGGCTTGAAACAGCAGAATTGAAGACTTCCCCCGTTTTGTTCTTCGAAAGGCTTGCGGCATATAAGTTAAGTAAGTTTGAGATTTGGTATTTCTTGCTCCCACACTCAATGGCATCCAAAGGTCAAAGCTGGCCTCCCCGCCAACATGTTGGAAAGCAAGTGCAAGCCTTTTCCGAAAGCGTGCCAGAGTGAAGCCCATTTGCACCTGCGACTTTTGCCACCAGGCTGCAACTTCAATCGGGCTTGTTGTCATATTGACATAGACCTCGATATAGGGAAACTGGCCGCTTCGGCACATCTCCCCCAAATATCTGACTAAAGTATGACGTTTGACACATGCGCAAACAGAAGCAGCCCAACTGCATGTGGGCGGCATAATTTTTTGGGGGGGTTCAAGTATGCATGCAAAGGTAAATTTATCAGCAAATGCTATGTATGCATGCAAAGGTAAATTATCAGCAAATGCTATGCAGCATACTTTCCCGGTTGCAGGTCCTCCGGAATTCAGAGAGAGAGAGAGAGAGGGAGAGAGAGAGGGAGAGAGAGAGAGAAATAGAGAGAGAGAGAGTCAGAGAGCACGGGAGAAATCACATCAGCTGCGCGTTTGTAGCGACAGCGCCCCGTGATCCCCAACTAGCGTATGGATGCCGCAACATGTATACACAACATACCTTAGCTGCGGGCAGCGGCGGGCGATTAAGCTCTTTGGTGTCTAAAGCCGAATCAGGGCTCTTTGCAGCACCCCTCCCTTGAGTTCTCGTGATCACTCCCACAGATTGCCAGGGTTTTGTGTGGACATGACATGTAGGGATGTCATGGTTTTTCCCGAGGCGGTTGCCGGAGCCGGTTCATCAGATAGAGTCCCTCATTGCAGTTCACAATGATTTGGACAGCAAGTTCATGTTTGTTCAATTACTGGCTTTTGGAATGATTACAAGCATTCTTCTCTTTTTTGTCTTGTATTACTCTCTTCATTCCACAGACTATTCTGATGCCAACATGGTCCAATATGGAATATTCGTTGGACAGTTTACACACACACACAAGCGCACACACGCACACATTCGACATCCGGCCCAAACTCCGGATGTCGCCGTGCAGCATGTGCAGCCAAGGTGATGGTGTAGTGTATTTCCTTACTTCTGCTGAAGGCATCATTCGATTGATCGAAGCTTCCGGTGATGCTGAACTTTTGGCACGTCTCGGCATGTGCAACCGGAGGCAGGGATCGACTGAAGATTCTGGGGAGTCTATGCCGTCACTTGTGCCTTCCCAACACCATTCCACGAGCGCGAAGGGCAGGACATTTAAATAGTATAGGTCTTTGTTGTGATTGGTAGTTCCATGTCAGCGCGCCAGATTTCTGAATCTGAATGAGCATTTTGTATGTTGTGGCAATCGATTGATTTTGATGCAAAAGGTATCAAAAGGTATTGTGTTGCTCCGGAGTGAGTTGGCACTGCAAAAGCTGGTGGGCACCAATCAAACGTAAACACATGATAATCCCAGTAGCGATGCCAGGAGCCCCTAGTAGCTTCTTGTTCCTAGTAGTAAGGCCAGGAGCCCCTAGTAGCGTCCTTGCTCCTTGCTCCTAGTAGCGATGCCTTTGCTCCTAGTAGCGGCGAGGTGTATATAATCCCGTATTTCTCGGCGGGCCTGGCACCCGCACAGCAAAAGCGCCTGTGCTCGGTCCAGGCTGTGCATCAATGTGTTCCACTCTGGGGTCGAAAGACTATGCGTAGCGTCTGTGTCCTCACATGCTGTGGGCCTGACACTGTCCATGACGTTCCAGCAGATGGGATGCGGGCAGCTGGCCCTGAAGATTTGTGGAAGTGCCTGTGGAAATCACATCTACTTCGGCACCTCAACGCAATTCATTAGCTGGGACAAGCTTCCTTTCTTTGTTGCTGGCCACTTGTTAATTCTCAATCTTTCATCGATTGGCATTTTTTACATTCTTCTTTTTTAAACCTCAATTTGTTTTTAAGATTTTTTGCTTTTTGCTTTTGCTGCTTGTCTTTTGGTGTTTGCCTTTGCATTTTTTTAAAGTAATACTTTTTGGTGCGGGCCTTTGCTATTTTTGTTTTTTTTAATGCCTTTTGTGCGGGCCTTTGCTTTTGTTTCCTTTGCTGTTCTGTTTTTGGTGGTTTTTTATTTTATTTTTTGTTCTGTTTGGTTCAACCCCTCCAGCGCCAGGAAATCACTATCACCATTTCCTCCACTTGCAGCGCCTGCCACGAAAACTGAATTGCTTTATTATATATATATAAGATGGTTGAAGTGTCGACCATGCTGCACTGCACCAACAACTTATATGTACAAAATTTGTGTTAAGTCTTCTCAAGCTGACTCATCATTCCTCCCTATTGCTTCCTTGGCATTCCTTGGCTGCAGCTAGGCTGGCATCCAAAGCAAGCCTGTTCCTTATATACAACTACAGCCACCCGCTGAGGGCAAGATTTAGAGGAGGAAGGAGCCACTCCAACGTAGCATGCCCGTTGTGGGCCAACTGAGGGCAACATTTGGATCAGGAAGGGGGATCATTCCGAGGGAGAACCATTCCAACGTAACGTAGCTTTTGTGAGCCAACCGAGGGTAAAGTTTAGGAGGAAGGAACCCTTCCAACGTAGCTTACCTGTGGTGAGCCAGTTGAGGGTAAAATTTAGAGGATGCCCCAACTGCCGACATCAGCTGCGGATGCAATGGATGTATGTCCAAAGGATTGTAAACAGGACGCCCAAACTGCTGTAAATAGCAGCAAGCCGAGACCAAATTAAAACCCCGCCCAATTTGCTTGCTCCTTTTTCTCTCTCGCATTTTTTCTTGGTTGCTGATGTTTGCATCGCTTTTTCTGAGCTTTCCTTCCCGTTTTGCAGTCCCCTGGTGCTGAGGCCAAGGTGGGGGAACAGTCGTGCGGAAAGAGTCACTGCCTTTCATCAGGGCTGCAGCCAACCTCGCGCTGCGATTCAAGGAAGCCAATATTCACATCGATGCTCATGCTGGACGGGCGCACTTTTTCTTCTTTTTTCAAGTCAGTCTGATAGAGAGAGACTCGTGGGCCCGGAGTGTGGTTTCGCTTTCATTTACTCTATAGACCGAGAATTATATTTGGGTGCATCCACTCCACCTGGTGTGGCAGCCATTGACTTTCAGTCACGCGCATTCAGCTGGCATTTGATCAAGCTTCAGTTGCATGTTCAAGAAGGAGCTGCAGGAACGACTGATAGGTTCCACATCCCCATATATGTCGGCCCAATGCATTTGTGCCAACCAATCCCATGTGTTTGGTCAGAGGAGTACGCGCGCCTGGTCGGTTTGTGGCGAAAAACTGCTCCCAGGCCGACAGAGAATGTTGGTGAGTAAGAAGCTGCTGTTTGAATCACTGACAGTCGTGCCTAGCGGCTAGCGTTTCCCTGAAGGCAAGAGCGAAGGCCATTTTGCGAGAGTTGATCAGCTATGGTGCTGATGAGTCTTGGCTGAGTGATTGGATATCAATTCACGCATCCCACAAATTTGTGGAACTTTTGGAATGCCATCATCAGGAGAACATTATGCAACTATATACATATACAATCATATACAGTATACAGGTATCATCAGGTACTGTATCTAAAGCTTTCATGCAGAGAGTTCAATGCAGCTAGCAGCTCCACGTAGCCAGCTTATGCGGTTTACTTGCACATTTCAGTTCACACGTTTTGGCCTAGCTCGCAAGAGTCAAGTTGAGCTCGCCGCCGGCAGGCCAATCGCATCACATTCACTGCCTGGGGAAAAGACATCTCCAGCATTTGGGGAGAATCAGATGAGAGAGTTGCTCGAGCAGAAGTTTATGTCCAGATTGCTGGGGCAGAGTTTCCTGAACGACCTGCATACTACTCGAAAGCAGTTAGCGGGTGGCCTGGCAGCAAGGCCGGCGTTTTATCCAACAGCTCGACAGTACTGATCGGCCAACCCGGAAGCACTCCGCTTTTGTACCACCCAGACTCTGACTTGCCAAATCAGACTGAGGTCAAGTTCACTTCACCATGGGGCAGATGCACCTGGCATTTTCTTTGACAGTGGTTGTTTGGTTTTGTTTCTCTGACTTGTACTGTTGCCGTGTTTTTATCAAACTTCTAGGAGCAAGAACGCTACTAGGGGCTCCTGGCATCGCTACTAGGAGCAAGAACGTTAACGTCAAAGGGGCTCCTGGCATAGCTACTAGGAGCCAGAACGCTACTAGGGGCTCCTGGCCGTACTACTAGGAACAAGAAGCTTCTATGTGCAAATTGCGCCTCAGGAAGTGGGCGATGAATTTGGCTTCGACAGTTTTCTCCACTCCGACCCCGAGAGCCTCATGCTCTTCCTGCCAGCTGCCACTGGTTTTCAGCTCGTCTCTGTCTTGAATTCAGCTTAATTCAGAGTGCCAACGGAGTACCACAGGGCCCAATGCCCCTCTCACCCTCTGACGCTGTCAGGGCTTGGCCCAAGCCTCAGTTGTTGGATGTGATCGGCTTGGCGGGTCAGAAATGGAAGAGTAGTTCCTAATAGCGTCCTTGTTCCTAGTAGTAAGGCCAGGAGCCCCCTAGTAGCGTCCTTGCTCCTAGAAGCGATGCCCATTGCTCCTAGTAGCAAAAGGAACCTAATAGCGTTCTTGTTCCTAGTAGCGATGCCAGGAGCCCCTAGTAGCGTTCTTGCTTAGGAAACTCCAGCAAGTTTCACTCCAAGCCGAGGAATGCGACGCGGGCGGGTGATGCCCAGCGATCTCCCGCACATCGGCCAACAGGAAAAGCCCAGCATTCTCTGACCAGCACAGCTTCACAGAGGGTTGAGTTTGTTGGAGGCTGGACCTGCCCAAAGCAAGACTTTCAAGGAATTGGCGAAAAGCTGGCTAGTGGTGATCAAGTGATAGACAGAAAGGCCAGCAAAGCTCCTGTGTCGCCAGACCCTGCCATCTCCTCCTAGCCAGCCTTTCACCTAGCCTAACAGCACTGTCCTTCAGGAAATCATCGCAGAATAGTTGTGGGAGGCTCTGAGTGTACGAAGGACAGCTCAGAGACTCACAGCGTTTCAGAACTCAGCTACAAAGCAGAGAAAGAAACGGTGCAGCAGCACAGCACCCTATTTGGGGTCCGAGCGCTTCTCATGTTCATGTGGAACCCAGAGAACTCATATGGAGAATCATGAATCATGACCATGACTTGACTTAACTGGGCGTGTGCATGTTTCCCTGTGCCCATATGTGTCCATATTTCCCTAAGCTTTGGCTCGGAGGGCGCAGAGATGGCCATGACGTGCGAATGTGGCTGCTTTTCATTCAGATGGCTTCATGCCAATCAGTGCTCGTTAGCTTCACATCACGAGGCCCATCTTCCCAGATCTCGCGCCCAAATTGACCAGAACGATCTTGTGTCCTTCTTGGCCCTTCGACAGCATTTCCCGAACTTCTAGACTTTAGACTGAAATGAGTCAAGGAGGAATGCGTGTTTCAGAGACGACTTTTGGGTCTTGGTGATGTCGAGGACGCGCAGGTTTGATGGCTTGCATCATTTGCATTTTGAGTGCACTTGTGTGTGTATATATATAGGTAGGTCGATGGATGGCTATGGATGGGGAGAGAGTGTCAGAGAGATAGCGAGACAGACAGATTGTTAGAGATGTGGCTAGTGGCTAGATGTAAGAAGCTGATAAGTAGATAGTAGATGCGGGTAGATGGATGTGTGTAGAGTGTAGAATGGATGGCTGGACCAATGGATGGATGGATGGATGGAAGTCAGAGAGATAGCGAGACCTGCTGAAGAGATAGGGAGATGGAGCCACAGAGAGACAGAGAGATTCTTAAGTAGATGTGGCTATAGATGTAAAAAGATGATAAGTAGATGTGGATAGATGGATGTGGGTAGAGTGCAGACAGGTCAATGCTTGGCTAGTGGGACGAGCGGGTGGGCGGGTAGGTGGCTGGATAGAATTGGAGAGACAGGTAGAGAGATTGAGAGATGGAGAGCTAGAGAACATATGGAAACCACCCCAGGGGCGCCCTTTTTTGGTATCTGAGGGCCTGATAACCAAAAAGAGGGCGCCTGTTATAGCGACCAGGTTCACATTCCTTTATTCTTCTTGTGAGTTGACCTGTGCAATGCATATAGGACTGAATGATTTTGCAAAAGCTATCAGCAACTATTAGACTCAATTGGAGACATTCACAGCTGTGTGGATTCAAGGCATCCCCAGAAGGAGAGTTGATTGGATCTGCTTGTGATCCAATCACCCTAGCACTCTTGGCAAGTTGCTGCACATCACTCCATCAAGTTATTTGCAAGCCGGATTTGGTCAAACGACGGGCCGAAGACTGGTCCCTGAATGGTCACTGCTGCCTTTTGGAGCATCTTGCATTCAATTTGGCGATGAGCGAGCCACCCGTCGATTCAAGGAACTTTTTTTAAAGAATTTGTTTTCGCATCCTTTTTTGTGAAAGCGCTACCAGAAAAAGACATCCCAAAACGAGCGCGAAAAAGAATTCCTTTAAAAATTGTCAGCCTCGATTCAACCCCAGTCAGTATATGCTTTTGTCACGGCCTGCAAGAGCAGGACATTCACAAAATATGTTGCTTTCCTACAACTATATATGGGGAAACCAATCATTGAACCAGTTCTGGACAACGCATGACAAAATGCCTAGGCTATGTGACAAACCTGATTCGAACCATGTACGCTTTGGCAACTTGGCTGACACCCGAGAGGCTATTGGACCAATTGGAGATCCGAAGTGGGAGTGCGCCTGTGTCCCTTTGTTGTAACAGATCGCTAGCAGGCTGGAGGCTATCGCTATTAGGTTGGAGGCCATCGCCAATAGAAACAGAAAAAAGGAAAGGAAGAAAGAAAGGTCGTGTTCTCATTGCTTCACTACTTTAGATTCCTCAATTGAGCCGCCGAGGGTATGGAGGCGGGAAGACTCCATTGGCATCTGCAGTCCCATTCATTCACACTGCTGCTGCAATTGCGAAGCGCTTTCCACGTGCCAAAGTTCATGTGGATGCCCATGCAGGATGGCAGGGGAACACTTCCACCCGCACAAAATTTGCACGGTTTTGCAAGAAGTCTTGGACACTGACCTGACTAATTGATTAATTATGCCTATATAATGTCTATTGACATGGTAAACAAGAACACATTGTAGAGACCTGACATCTTAGGTGCACAAAATCGGGCTTTTGAATGCTCCCAGGAGTTTATGCCCCCAGCCATCGCATTGCCGATAAATGCTCTCAAGCTCGCGCCCAGAGCGTTCGCCAACATCTCCTGGCTCAGGGTGTTGGGGCCGCTTGGCATAGAACGGCATAGCCCTAGCTCAAGCGAGGCGCAATGGGCTTTTGCCTAAACCTCAAGGATAACTGGCCTATAGCCTATAGGTCTAGATATAGTCTTGCGTGCCTCGCAGCTATTTGCAAACTTCCTAAATCTGCTGAGTGTAGAGCTGGAGTCCTGATGGTGTTTATGGAACCATCCTAACAAACTTATGAAAGTCCCAGAGCCCGTCTTTGTTTGATGGAACCATTTGAGCACGCCAGTTTTGTGAAAGAGCAAGGGAACCTATGCAGCATGCTGCTTTTGCATTTTGTTGCTTTCTTCAATAATCTACTAGGATCATGAAGTGCTGGTGTTACAAGGCTCCAACTTGCCGAGGCAGGCCAAATCACTTCCACAGCCTGGGGGAAGAATGTCTCAGCGCACTGGGGAGAACAGGATGACCGCGTGGCAAGAGCTGAATCCAAGCTGCAGAGGGGATGGGGGAAACAATTGGACACAGATGGCAGATATCAGATATCCATTAAATGGTCGATATTCAACATACCTTGGCTGCAAAACATTTGGTGACTCATTACCAAGGAGGTGTACCTTTGCCTGGATGAGATTCATGTTCCAGAGAAACCTGAGTACTATCGCAACTCGCCGATCCTTGGCCAAGTACAGGTGATGGAGAATGCTTCTGCAATCCAATGTTTCTATATTGTTCTCGTTTGGATGCCGCCTCTTTCGAGGTCATGCTGCCAGGAAGAACCACCAGCTTTTCACATCTACAATCGAGATGGCCACTTCTGGTTGCTGCCAGAGGAGGAGCTGGAATTCATTAGGGAGAGGTGGCAGTAGATTTTTGCTTCAAGCACCTTATCTCCTTGTATTTTGCACGCGACCACTGCACACAGGTCCTGTAGGCCGTGTGCCGTGTACATAGTCAATCCCTTCAGAGCCTGTGTGTTAGCCATGGGAGGGATAGACAGACATGCAGATCACAAGATGAAAGGAGGGTCGTGCACACTCGAGGGCAGCTTCCAAGATAGCCCTAGAAAGTTACTTGAAACAAATACCTGCAACGTGACATCACAGGCTTTTTGGTGTCGTTGGCTTGTTCTCAAAGGGACAGGGACTTTCAACCGCTGCCTCTACCTCTGAGCGACCTTTGTAAAGTTATGGAAATTTGGGCCAAGTATCAGTATCATTCTGAAAGGCAACGCACCTCAGATTGCAATAGCGCGGGCCAGCAAGACTCAAAGAAGACAAAAGCTTGGATTGAAAGATGTACGAAGGACAAATGGCAGACAAACCAACCATGCCAAGGCCCTGGTACCTCCCCGCAACATGTTACGCTGAACAATTGCTGGTCCACGAGTAGTCGAACAGATTAGTGCGCCATGGCAGTGCAACCGTTGCAGCTTGGGCCGCTGGACTATCAGAACTTGTCTAGTTTTTTCCCTGCGTATTTCCCTTCGGATCTAGGTGAAGGAGGTGTGATGAGGCGAGAGGAAGCTCAAGAGGCGCTTCAATGGTGCATGGCCTTTACCTGTGTGGCCTTCAATTCAACTGTCCCCGAGATCTCGGAAGCGCTGCAACACCGGAGGGCCCGATTCTCTTTAGATCAACTTCGCTCTGCAAGACACGGGTCCCCAAACTCAGAGTTTGATTTGGCAAAGAGACTTATGTGTCAGGCCGACAAGTGCCTCGCCGAAATTGGATTGGGTTTTGATCTTGCATGCGCCCTTCTTCAGAGACACACTCCAAAGCTCCATGAGAACATAGAGAGCCCTGCCATGCGGCCGGTTGATGTAGAGCTGGTGGCGCCGGAGTTAGACCAACCAGTCCAAGCCGTGCGATCAGAGATGATTGATCGCTATATAGGTCTCAGAGGAACGGTGGTGCGTGCTGCGAACATTTCTCCTTTGATCACCGAATTGAGTTTTACATGCGGTCGCTGTTCCACAGAAGTGGTCATGAAAGCAGTCGAGGGCCGCTTTGAATATCCATCCAGCTGTCCCAAGAAGTGCCGTTTTGCGCGATTCAGTGTCAACAGAGAGAAGTGCAAAGCTATTGATTGGCAGCGTGTCCGTTTGCAAGAAGACTATGCTGAAATGGCAGCTGGAAATGGACCACAAAGACGCATGCCTCGTACTGTGGACTGTGATCTGAAGCGTGGGCTGGTCGGCTCCTGTGTGCCCGGGGATGTAGTGACTGTCTATGGAATTGTCCGCTGCATGCCAACATCGGGGGGGCATGTCGGGCGGTGGTGATGGCCGCCAAGCGCCCACAAAGTCCTTGTACATATTGTTTTTGGAGGTGAAGGCAGTTGTGAACAATCGCCGTGCTGACTCACTAAATCGGACTGGCACGGCCCAGTGCGAGGACGAGTTCTCACCTTTGCAGCTGTCCTTCATTCGGGAGATTTACAAGGAGCACGTCGCTCGGCCTGTCAGTCTTGATTCTCTTTTTGGACGTGTGGGGGCCAGGGCATCATGCTCAGAGGAAACACTCGGCCGCGATTTTATCGAAGCAAGGAAAAGTTGCCACTCTTGGTGGCATCATTTTGCCAGCACATTTATGGCCAGCACTTGGTGAAGGCAGCTTTGCTCCTTGCAGTGCTCGGAGGAGAGGGGCACCGGGTACAGTAGGATCAGAATCTCAAGTTGGGGCAGCAGGCTGGTTGTCTCAATGAATGCACCGGAGGGCTCTCAATGTTTTCATTTCTTTCCATCCTTAGATTCCTTTCCTGTGCTTACTCGCATTTCCTCAGACAATACTGGTAGTGGATTATGGTATATGCATATTATTATAAGATATGCAATCCTGGAATGCCATAATTTTTGCTTTCCACGGCCCCTTCATTTGCAACAAAAAGCACGGAGCAACCTGGCCGGTTGACTGGTCGAGTGCGCAGTATTTGTGAGCCTAAGGCAACCTCATTTCAACTTTACAGCTCAAGAAACATGAGTCGTGTTTTGACAGCCTCGTGCGTGTTACTTGTATTCGCCATTGGATGAGCTATGGGTTTCAAGGAGAGATTTTGATCAAATGTCTTCTCACAGAGAAGGCCACCCTGCTTGCTGTCTTCGTTGTTTGGGCCGCAAGTGCCCTGTCCATCAATCTCCAACGGGATCTGCAGCTTCAGGGCCCAACTAACCAGCTTTGGCATGCTGTAACTAGTCGACACAGCTTCTTGGAGCTGCTTTGGCCTTTTATATATCCTGCTTTGGTCTGCAAGAGTGGCTTTTGCATTCTTTAGCCGACCTTGAGGACTTCCTATCCGTTCAGATGGTCCAGAGCAGCGCCTGCGACGCAGAGGTGATGTGCATGTGCTCCTGTTGGGAGATCCAGGCCTTGGCAAGAGTGAGCTGCTGAGAGCCCTTGCAAGATTGAGTCACCGAGGCCAGGGTTGACTGTGAGCAGCTATCAGCAGATGGATTCCTTTTTCGACCTTTGGCTTTTGTTGTTTGAGCCGATTTGACGGCAGCAGCGCCGCCTCGGGCAGCCTGCTTTAGCCTAGTAGCTTGTTGTCACTAGTAGCTACTTGCTCCTAGTAGTACGGCCAGGAGCCCCTAGTAGCGTCCTTGCTCCTAGTAGCGATGCCAGGAGCCCTTAGTGGCTTCTTGTTGCTAGTAGCTGGAAAGGGTCACTTCTTCATTTGGAAAATTTGGAAAAGGCCACTCACGCAACATCCGCTTCAGGCGTGTACGTCTCTGGGAATTCCTCATCAACTGCAGGATTGACAGCCTCTGTTGTGCGAGATCCGTCTGGAGAGTTTGCTTTAGAGGCTGGGGCTTTGATTCTGGCCGACAATGGCCTTTGCTGCATTGATGAGTTTCGTGGCTGCATGGGGGCGCGGGCAGAAGGTGATCCTGGGGTGTTGGACTGACCCCGTGGCTCCTTCGCCGAAATTCCACGAAATAAGACAGAACATGTGATGCCGTTCGCATGTGCAGGATCTTGGTGGAGGAAGTGGCATATACAAAATAGTTACAAAGGATTGAATGAACAGCACATTTGCTGACAGGATGTGGAAGAGATGGTGAGGAAGCCAAGGCTGATGCAAATGCGGGTTGCATATACACACACACACACATATATATATATATACATATAGTTGGCGAGTGGTTGTTCGGGTTCACGTTTTAGATTTGCCCCAGAATGAGTTGCTGAAAGCGGACTTGGGATGTGCGGGTTGATTCTTTGCTGGCCTCAGGTTTGACAAGATGGGCTCGGATCAGCAGTCCTTGCTGGAAGCCATGGAGCAACAGACTGTATCCATTGCAAAGGCAGGGATTGTTTGCACCTTACCTGCCAGAACCACCGTGGTCACCGCAGCCAATCCCAGCAAGGGCTCCTGGGATATGAAACTCGGTCTCAAGACAAGGGCAAGGGGAGCAGGTGCATGTCCAAGTGTATATATATATAATTATATATATATATATATTATATGCACATGTTGCCGCAGCCTTTGATTTTTTTCTCCATTATGGAGTGTCAGCGTCATTGCGCATGTGCAAGAAAAAGATGCTTGACGACTCGACGACCCATGATGCGCATTTCATGTGGAAGCTAAGGAGCTTGACACTTGCGCAGAACCTGAAGGGTGTGATGTCTGAAGCCCTCCTGAGTCGTTTTGATATCATATTCCTCATGCGCACCGAGGATGATCCCAACCAGGACATGTTCGCCATTGGTCATTCGGTTTTTGGGTCATAGCCCCCGAACCTTCAACCCGCCGGACAAGTGTTCCTCCAATTGTCGGCGTTCATCATTCCAATGCGCAGCCAGGATTCTGCCATGTCTCGGCACATCATCAACCAGCGCATGCACAATGCACGCCGCCCAGACCCCCAGCCAGAAGATTGGTCCAACACAGCTGATGCAGAATCGGGCCGAGAGAGCTTAAAGAGCAGGTTGACACAGGCCTGCATGCCAGGAAGTGTGCAAATCTTGAGGAACCTTCAATGAATGTATGAGCATCCGGCACAACTTCTGCACATGTAATTTAGCAATGAGCTGCCTTAAGATCTTATATAAGTACATGAGTTACATATATATATATAATATATAAACATAAGTATTTCGGAATTGATCAACACCTTGCACAACCGATGGGGCACATGCATGAATAAGCCTTTGTCCCCCACTCTAATATGTTGTCGGTTCATTTTGTGCCCCTGATGCGACGCAGGCAAGTGCAGAGCAAGCTCTTCCGGCCGAGCTTTTGCAGACCTACCTTCGCTATGCCAAGCGGTATGCTCACCCCACCCTGAGTAAAGAGGCCAAGCAGCGCATCAAGGACGTCAAACTGCATTGATGCTTCAGTGGGAGGAAATCCCCTCCTGCAAATTCGGCCTCACGTGACGAGTGATTACTCAATGGTAAAGAAAGGGGGTGGGTTCAGGTGTTCTTAGAAATCAGCATGATGGATTCCAACCCTCCTTGCCAGGAGTTCTATTTGGAGCGACGGAATGGGCCGCAGGGTGCGCTCCTGGTGACGCCGCGGCAGCTCGAAGCCTTAATCCGCTTGAGTGAGGCGAGGGCGCGGGCAGAACTCCGAGACGTGGTCACCAAAGCAGATGTGGAGGATGTCTTGGAACTCCTTCGTCATGGCTTCAACTTTCAGGCAGGGCTGAGCAACTGCACAATGCTTTCTGTACAGAGATGTTTGAACAAGTCCCCTAAACATCTTCGTTCTCGATCTCAAAGCATGTCAAAGGATGTCAAGGGTGTCTCTGAAATGTGTTGAGCCTTTGAACTTGTCTTGCCCACCAATGCTTGAGCAATAATCTGCCTTTTGCCTCCAGGAAGAATTCTTACAAGTTCCAACGCGGAAGGGCAAATCAAAATCAAATGCCTTGGTGGATCGACTGACCCAGTTCATGGATCGACGCGTGCGTGCAACTGGTTGCAGGGAGTTTCGAGTGCAAGATCTGAAGGCCATGGCTGGAAATGTAGACGACAAAGATTGGGAGAAGGCGCTGCTGGCTTCGGCTTGCGTCAGCTCCCCTTGCTGTAGGCAGTTGCTTGTAGGCTTTCTCCAGGGCTTGTTGGCTTGTCCGTTTCATTGAAGCAACGTCGTTCAGGCCATGAGGCTTCTGAATGAGCCGGGGACACTTACACTTGCGGGGGCTGGCAAGTTTCTGTACAATCCTGGGATGAGCTGAGAGCCAAGAGCCATTCGGGGCTGGTCAAAGGTGATATGATATAAGGCGATGAAACAAACAAACAGGACATCCAGTCTAATCGAGCAAGGTGGTAAGCTCTCAGCAGAAATCCTGTCAACAATTGCTGCTGCAGTTTGCTTTTGGCAGGGCTTGGGGATGTCTGCCGAATGGATGCAGGTAGCGGCGAGAAATCGGCCTTCAACAGGTTAGTTGAGAAACACATGAATCAGTCTTGCACAGGCTTGAGCGATAAATCCAGTTGCTTGAAATATCTTGAAATCATAGAATGATCTAAGGGTCGGGTCAAGAAGTGGGATCAACATTTTGACCCTGATTCGTAATTCGTGTTGCCGCGATCTTTGCAAACATTGCGAGCTTTTGCCCAGTTGGGGCTCAAGCACGCATCGAAGAGCACGCGAAGCTTTGTCACGGCTCATAGTATGCCATAGGCCCCAAATCTCAAGATTCAAGATTCAATCTGCCAACCACTCTCACTGAGCACTAATCAAATAGCCTGCTGGTTGGTTGGCACCTTGCGGTGAAAGGAAGACCCAAACGGGGCACAAGTCCTCGACATGGCACCTACTGTCAACGGAGCCTATCGAGGCCGCTATGCGCCTGGCAGGACGATGTTTCCTATGAAGGCCTTCAACGAGGCAGAGGCCACATTTGCGAAGTCATTGACCAAAATGAAGCAGGAAGCACCTGACACACCGGATTTGCTCTATGCTTTAGAAGAAGGCCCAGAAGAACGGAGCTGGGCACTGCAGCTGCTCTCTGCCATTGTGGAGTCACAGCCAGATATTGGCCGGCAGCTAATGCCGCAAGTGCTTGCAGCGTTGGAGGATGATGCTGCCAGTGTGCAGCTTGCTGCCATTGACGTGCTGGCCAAGCTTAAGGCAACAGAGCATTTGCCTCAAATTTTGGATTTCTTGGCAGATCCAAATGCACAGCTTCGCAGTGCCAGTGCTGAATGCATGGGAAACATGGATGCCTGGCACCTGGCAGAGGAACTGCGGCCTAGCCTAGCAGATAGCGATGGGAACGTTGTGAAATCAGCCTTGAAAGCTGCCAGATCTTGGGGAGAAAATGGCCAAATGCTGGCCAGCGCAGTTGTTCGGTGCTTGGATCACGCGAATGCAGGAGCGCGCTGCGAGGCGGTGCAGGTTCTTACCTCTTGCGCTGAAGCTAGTGAACGTTTTGCAGGGAAAGTTGCCAAATTGCTTGCCAACCCGGATTTGCAGACCAGAGAGGCAGCTGTGGCCTTCTTTGCTGCCTTAGGTCCTCGGGGTACGCGGCGTGCCCTTGCGGAGACACAGAAGCTGCTGAAAGATCCAATTGGACAATGTGCTGCTGCCATGGCTTTAGGACACATGAAGGCGCTGAATTGTGCCGCAGAGGTGGCCTCCTTGTTGACTCCTGGACAAGACAGTGCGCTGGCATTGGCTGCCACTGGCCTCGAGCCGCGCCTTGGTGTGGAATTGCGCCGGCCAGAATGCGCAGCAGCTTTTGCTTTGTCTCTCATGGGTGATGAAGGTGGCAAATATGCCGACTCGATTGCTTCTCTGCTTTCTGACAAGCAGCTGCCAACGGAGGCTACAGCCTCGTTGATCCGTTCTTTGGCCAGCATGGGAAGCTATGCTAGTGGTCACAAAGGGAAGCTCCTGAGCTTTTTGGAGCATCCTCAAAGTCAATTGCGCGAAGCTGCATGTTGGGCTTTTGGCGCCTTCGGTGCGCTGCTCCAAGAGGAAGGCATTGACATGTTGCTGGCCCTATTGAATGACTCTCAGGCAACCGTTCGGCAGAGGGCCGCAAAGGCATTGGGGCACTTGCAAGAGTCTTCGCTCTACGTGGATCACTTGGCCGTGTTGTTGGACGATCCAGTGCCAGCGGTACAGGCACAAGCTTTGGAATCACTGGCCAGTTGTGGTGAAGAAGCGGAGTCTTATGCGGCCATTGTTTGCCGCATGGCTGTGGAGCATAGCCGGGAGGGCCACAGCGGTGTCAGGTGCTCTGCACTGAAGACCTTGGGCAACATGAGAGCTGCAGACTTTGCAGAGGAAGTGGCTGGCTGCTTTGAGGACAGTGATCCCTTGGTGCGGGCTGCTGCGGCAGAGGCCCTGGCTCACTTTGGTGCGGAAGGGAAAGAGTTTCTTATGCAGGTGGAGTTGCTTCGAAGTGATCCGCATGAAGCAGTGAGAAGGGCAGCAGATGAATGTGCATTAGCATTGGATGCCTAGGGCCCTAGGGCCTAGGGGTTGCAGAACTACGAAACTATTTGCACGTTCGTTGTGGACGGACTTTGCTTTCGTTTTTGCTGGCCCCGGCCGGACTCTCTTCCTTTTTACTGCTTAGTCCTGTAGACCTTTCGCAGCAGACTCAAAACATGCGGAAGCAGCTTCACAGGTAATGAGAACATAATGCGCTTGGCTTTTGTTTGTTGTTCTCTTGGTGGGTTGTCGCTGAGCATCGGCTACTCTCCCTCTCCCTCGGTCTGTCCCTCTCTCCCTCCCTCTCCCTCCCTCTCTCTCTCTCTCTCTCTTTATGCGCTTGCTTCCAGCATTGCCACCCAAAGTCTGTCATCGTCATGCTGTCATGCTCCATGTGATCTCATCAGATATCTCAACTGCGCCGGCTCCTGATTCCAATTACTGTATGGAGATGCGAACAAAAAAACTTGATGAAACTGCACAGTGATCGGGGAACCATTAATATTTATATAGTAATTAGTAAGATGTAGTAAGTGCCCCCAGCTGCCATGTACAGTTTCAGAAAACATCAATGCCCACCGGCAGTATCCAACTGAAGTTTCTAACCCTAGCGGCCCTAGCATGTTACGAGGCCTCGACAAAGGACACTGTGGACAAGCCGTATGCCAATGCAATCATATTCCATTAGATGAATATTGGTTTGACGATTTGACTATATATTATTTATATACTATATACATGCCAGCTGACCCCAGCTTTCACAGTGGGCCCGCGGGCCCGCATATTGAACCATCCCGTTCTTCGCAACTGAGCCGTGAGCCATGCACCGGGATGATTCCCTTTCAGAGATGATGGCAGGAGAGTCTTGGCCTCAGTCATTCCATTGTAGTCCTCAGTCATACGACGGAGTTGGCACCCTTGTTGGTACCAACTGCAGCTGCCCTTTGCGCTAGAGCTTTTGATATATGGCTGGAAGCTTTAGAACTTTAGAGAGCATCAGTGCCATCTAAATCTAGTTTCAACACAGACGATGGCAGGCGTGGTCGTGGACTTGCAGACTTGAAAGGCATGGCGTAGACTCTGGCTGTGAATATGCTTAAGTTTCCCGAAATATCTAGGAACCAAATGAATTGAAGCGCGAGCTATCCTGCGTCCAAGGTAGTAGCGTCCTGTACCTAGAAGCTTACTTGTTAGCAACTAGCTACCTCTAGCTACTACCTGTAGCGGCCTACCCCCCTGCCCTTAAAAAAGCAAGTTTTAGTACTGTAGTAGTTTTAATATTTCTTTGGTTGTGAGCCTTGTGAGCTAAGAGCTTGGACGTTTTCCTTTGGACGACATGGCAGGATGGGATCCATTGGACCGGCGGATCGAGGTGGAGAAAAAGGAGAAATATGGCCAAGCACTTCGTGACCAAATGGCCATGAACAGCGCAAGGGGAGCTCCTGGTGAGACCTCAAGCTCCCCTTTGCCACCAAGTCGTGGCAGCTCCTGCACAAGGGCAGCGGGGGAGGCCATTGCCTCCCCTCACTCCGGCCTCATGCATGGGCCGCTGGTGACCGACGCTTGATAGAAGCCTCGAAAAAACTTTTGAATCACTTGGCTAAGTAAAAAGCAAGTGAAGAATAAGTACGGGTACTGGTACGATTGTGGACGTGCGTTTTGCTATGTTGAACAGAAGCCTCTGTGAGGACAGTTCCGCTGCCAGCAAGGTGGCACAAGTGCAGGAACTGATGCGGCAACGGCTCCAGGCGGTACAGGATGAGCAGCAGCGGCAATGGCACGAAATTCAGCTTGCGCTGAACGGGCAGTTGCATGCTGCAAAGGAGGCTGCAGAGGAAGCTGTCCGCCGGGAGTTTGGAGAGGTGATGCAAGGGCAGGCCGCGGAGATGCAAAATTTACGCAAAGCTTTAAGCGACATGATGCAGTCCCAGAGAGCCACTGAGGAACATGCTGGTCGACAGGTGGATGCTTTGGCCGGTGAGCTTGCAGATGCCAGAGCTGCCATTCAGAGATTTGAAGCTGAGACCGGTGGTTGGCAAAGCCAGATCCGAAGCCTCAACCATGCCGTTGAGGAGTTGGCCCGAGCAAAACAAGAGCAAGCGGCACATCAGGACGCCGCGCATCGAGAGCTAGCAGAGGCACGGAGTGCCATGCAGCGTTTGCAGCTGCAAAGCGATGATTTTCAAAGTCGACTTCAAAGCCAGGCTCAGGAGATGGAAAGGCTAAGGGCTGAGAAGCAGGAGTGTGCAAGAGAACACGAAGCTTGCGCCAGGGATCGGGCATTGCTGTCCCAAAGGTTGCAGGATGTGGAGGGCATTCTGAATGAGCTCAGAGGCCAGTAAGAAGCTCAGAATGTATATATCAGGCCTTTGTTCTAGAAACATCTAGAAACATTTGACATCCTTTGGCCATTGTTATAGCAATGCCAACGACGCTTCAGATCTCGTTAGCCCACTAAGTAACCTTTTTTGATCTCAGGAAATTGAGGGATAAGTTGGATCCTCCATTGACCGTCATGTCCAGTCTTTTCAAGTCTTGTTGGACATGTGAGGCACAAGGGGGTAACGTTTATGATAACATTGTACTCGTGCCATGATGATTGGTGTGGTTCATGTGACATGAACTTTGCCCGAGGCTTCGAGAACATGGTCTTGAAATTGACCGATTGAAGGTTGCGGGGTCGCTAGGTACAAGTGCTACTGTAGAACGGGATGCCTTTTCCATCACTTGCCCACACACTACGGTCACTTTCTACTTGTGATGTGAAACCAACACTTCTTTGTCGAAAAGCTACGTTGTGTCAATGTGTGCATTGACTTGGTCCAGGCATGAAGCATGAAGCATTCATTTCTAGAGAAGGATCACTTCCACAAAATGGTTCTGGTATGTTGCTTCCTTCCTGTCTTAGGAGTTCTTGTTGGCCTTGTTTGCATGCAACCGCATTTTTGGCACCCGAATCTGCAAAGATGGCTTCAGGTGGCACATCAAGAATGCGTAGATGCCCCAGAGTTTGCTCTTGGTCCACTGTTCATGTGACTGTGACGGGACTTTTTGTTACGGATGCGTTTAGGTCCAGGTTAATTTGGATCTGCCGGTGCCTCCAACAATAAAAGATAATAAGAGTGATGGTTTCCCCTTTCCTTTTGTCAAGCCCGCGGCAACGATTCTCGTATTTTCACGCAGTGGCTCAAGTGCAAAGCCAACTGATATATAGGAGGAGACCTGGCAGCAATGGACATCGTGGTGGTGACCACCTTCCAGGAGTTTCAGTTGCCGGGAGTTGTTCTTTTGGTCAAGAAATCCGGCAGTCATTGGTCCTGTGTAGCATTGGGGCGAATGATTGGATGACTGATACTTCTGGTGGTCCAGTACACTAGAGACGATGTCTGACTGACTACAATGTAGACTGCAAACTGGAACCCTGATGTTTGTTGCTTTTGATGGCACAGTCAGCCAGCTCCTGGACTTCCACAGCAGTCAAGCGGCCACTACGATACAGTCCCACAGTATCCTTATGTATGCGTGATCCTTATTGTGACCGTACTGTATATAAAACTCAACTACTGGTCCTGTTCAAATTCCAATAGCCTCAAGCGCAGCAGCTTCTGTCCAGCCACGACACCGCAGGATTTTGATGAAACTCTGGAGAAACGTCAGAGGGGTCCTGGCTGCGGCCGGAAGCACAGCACACAAGCAATGGTTCGACATTTGGTGCGACAGGTGCAGGACCAGGGGCCTGAATGGGTCTGAATCCTTTCATTGCCATATTCCTCTTCAGACTGCCAGTGGTCCAAGCTTATGACCTCCTCTCGATCAAATAGTCTCAAGATGTCTCAAGCCTTTCCTTCAACCCTTGTGGCAGGAGTACGTCCGAAAGGTGGACCTCTTAATTCTTGATTGGAAGTCACCTCCGAAACAGGGGCCCAAGGAGCTGAACGTCGCGATTGGCCGTGGTGAGCCGGAGAAAGCTGCAGTTTGGGGATCTCGAGAGCAGCTGTTGACCAAATTTCCTGCATCTGTGTGGGATCTTTGCATTTGCTCCAGTTCTTTTCGCTTCGTGCTAGATTTTGCCGCCCAGCTGAAGGTCAAGAAAAGGCTGGCCATGGTTCACGACTACAATCTACCAGTTGGCCCCTGGGGTCAAGAGCAAACGAAGGAGCAGATCAAAGAGCACTCTTCCCTTTGTGCATCTTATGAGCTTCTGTGTGCTTCTCAGCACCTGACTGAGTTTGTCGAGAAGTGGGGTGAAGGTGCTTTGCGGCCCATTTGCTGCTATGCGGCCGACTATGCCTATTTTGACCCAGTGCCACAGGAGCCATACCAGCCGTGGGAAGGGAAGCACGACTTTATCACCTTTGTCAGCCCGTGCCCCGAAAAGGGCCTCAGCATTTTCCTAAGAGTAGCTGAGAGCATGCCAGACGTGCAGTTCCTGGCAGTGAAGACAGTGTCATGGACCAAACCTTGGCACGAACAGATCCTTGCATTTGCTTTGGCAAGTGGTTGTTTTATTTACAGTATATAGGAGAACCTGCGCACACTCTGACATTGGTTTGCTGTTAACTCAATTCCCAGGAGAAATGGTGATGGAACGGAAAGGTGGCAGAGTCCGTGGAAAAGTATTGTTCAACATTGTTTGCACATGACTGCAGAAAACGCGCGGCTGCTGAAAGTGGCTGTCGAACGTGGCTGACGGAAGAAAGGTTTCGGGGAGGTATCATGGAACCACCATGGAAACAAAAAGAGAGATTGGACAGCGTGAGCAACAGTTTCTTGTGCAGGTACGTCATCAGGCGTCCCTGATGATATCCTAGGAGCACGTGAGGAGCTTCGTTGGATGGAGCCTCACGTGTCCTCTCCATCCCCCTGCTTTCACAAGGAAAACATAGAAGTGCAGCACCCTTTGGAACAGGGGTTGACAAACACAGAGCCGAAGTCGGCGCAAGTGCATGAGACGGTGGCATCGTGCTCTTTTTCTCAAAAAACGCCGGCATGCTGTTGGATCATGCCCTTTGTGGACATACAGCCGGATAAGCTCTTCAGCCGCTGCCGCTGCGTTGTGTGGTGGAAAGGTGTATGTGTAAATTGCATGTAGTCTGGAAGCTAAGCCGGAAAGAGCCAAGCGCTGGCTACCGGCGTGTGGTCCCTGCTTTTCCAGGGTCGTGTGGGTTGGATGTAGGTGATGGTCCGTTGTGGGAGGTCAATGTTGAACCCCAGAAGGTGAAAGTCGTCCACGGTTTCCAGTTCGACTGGATCACCAAAAAAGTTGTGGTGGATGAGGGTCTGGATGGCTGGATGGGGGAGAAAGTTTTCGTTGTGCACGATGAAGCGGTTGTCGACGTACCTGTAGTAGGTGAAGTGGAGGGCAGTGTGCTGGAGAAGGTTGTTATGGAGTTGGTGCCAAGAATGCTCAATGAGGGTGATGGCGACGTTGCAAAGGGCAGGAGAGAGCTGGGAGCCAATCCCAGCCCCACGGATTTGCTTGTAGGTGTTGTTGCATGCCCGGAAAATGCAGGTGTTGAGTGCAAAGGCTACAATGGTTGTAATGTCGGAGGTGTGGAGGGTGCGTTGTGTAGGATGTTTTGTGTGGTGTCTGCCGACGTGGGAATGATGAAAGGGGTTGCCAGTGGCTTTGGTGTCAACTGTCAAGGTGTGGGTAGCATTCTGGCGCTGCCATTGTTGGATCATAGAATGGACAGCATCAATAAGGCGGTGTTGGGGCACTGAGTTGAAGAAGCCCACAAGGTCATCGTTGGTCGCGTGTAGAGGAATATCGGCTGGTGTGTGTGTAAGATAGCAATGGAAGTGGCGCCATAGTTGTGGGATGGACAGTTGACCTGGATGTTGTGGGAAAAGGTGTTGCAAAATGATGTCAAGTGCTCGCTGGTGATGCGTAAGAGGTTGCCACTGAGGGAGTGGAAGTACGAGATGATGGTACGTCCCTTCTCCAATACTTGGGATTGTGAAATCTTTCCTGAATCCCCATTTGTATCGGGAGCGTAGGCTGGCTGGGATGGTGGCGGAAAGGTGGTCGTGGATGTTGGATGAATGGAGATGTGGAAGGGGTTCAAAAAGTTCCGGAGCTTGCCATGTGTTGAGCGCTCCGGTGAAATATTGGCGTGGGCAGAAAATGCGGAGTTGTTGGAGTTCATGGTCCGCATGGTGGATCACAACTTGGTCGCCGAGGTATTCTTGAAGCTGGCGGAGCAGGCGGGCTGTGAAGCGCGGTTGTTGTTTGAGGTGGGCAGTGTGAAGTCGCCATTGATGCTGAAGGAAGGGCTCCAAGTGTTGGCTGAGGGAAGTCGGGAGGCCTTGTATCCGGAGCCATTTTGTGAACGCTGCCTGGAACGTGAGAAAGTATCTGGCTTTGCTGGGGTAGAAAGTGCTGTTCATGCTGGCGTCAATGAAATACGAAGGTGTAGTGGTAATGTCAGTTGGTCCAGGGTGAGGATGTAGTGGCCGTTGGTGGTGGCGGTGGCTGGGTCAAGAAGTAGGCTGTTGAGATGAGAGCAAGCACACGGGAGGTCATTGGGATCTGGAGGAGTGTGCAAGGTGTCTTCCCACGCGCGGTGGTTGTGAAGCTGTGCTCGGAGTGTTTTATGGGCAGCTTCGCGTAAACGGTGTGTGGGAAGGTGGAGTGGGATGGCTAAATGCTTGTGTTGTTGGATGGTGGTCTGTAGCCATTGTTGGCAGTGCTTGGTGAAATCGTCATGAGCCAGGAATGGTACTGTAAGAGGAATGTTGGGCTTGGGAGGTGTCAGATTTCTGTAGTGGAGTGCTTTGTTGATCATGTGCAAGGCTCGGGTGCGGCCTGGCTCTTCGAGATTGGAGGCCATGCGTCTGATGGCATATACTTCGAGGTCAGTGTGACGACCGCTGCGAAGTTGTTTGGCTGCTTCAAAGGAGGCCAGAGTGTGCTTGGTGGAAGAGTAAGGGCGTGGTGTTTTGTGGAAGTAAAGAGGTATGGTTCTCTGAGTGTCTGCTGTCGCCTGCGAAGCTTGCGAAAGAGCCTCTTGTGTGTGGCCAGTCGGGAGTAGAAATGCGCCCGGTGTTTGGTGAATTGCCAACCCTCGGCTTTGAGCTTGAGATTTTGGGAGACGAAGGGCCAATTGAGAGCCACTTTGATCCACGCTTGGTCGTAGTTGTCGTGGGAAGAGAGCTGAATAGGGATGAAGTGGTGCATGTTTCCATGGGAGTGCCAATCGCGCAGGGAGAGTTCAGCGGAGACTGGGATATTGTTTTGAAGTTGCTTGAGCTCGGCACGGCGGTTGTGTTCTCGGTGTGGTATGCCGATGGCAGTGGAGCCCACGTAATATAGTGGCATGTTGATGGTAGCATCGTTGTGGTGTAATGGTGTTGAAGTGGAGTTTGATGTAAACGGAGTTAGGGGAGAGAAAGTTGTGGTAGTGGTAAGTGTGAGGAAGCACTTGGAGGTGCCGTAGGCGCTGTCGCCATTGTTGTGAGCGTAACTCTTTATGGTAAGCTTGTTGACACGGTTGAGTGGCAAACCGTATCGAGTAGCCGCTCCCTTTAGCTGGTCGGTGGTGACCTTGCTCGTCTGGAGAATGCGGAGCACTTGTTTGGCCGATTCTTGAACGGTTGTGTCGAAAGTGCGCATCCATTGCAGAATGGCCGGAGCCGTCCAGGAATCTGGAGAATCGTCCTTTAAAGACGGATGGGGTGGTTGGAGGACGTCTGCCAGCACGGGGGGCTTGTGGGCTGCAGGCTCTGCTGGAGCGGCTGGTGCACTGGGGGCGGAGGAGCGGCCGGCATCTTTTCGGGGTGTAAGTTCGATGCCGTGGGCTTGGAGCTTTTCGCGGGCTCGGGCTAGGTCGTCTGACCTGGCTTTCAGGGCACGAAGGGCCGAACCTTCGGCTGCTGCTGGGGCGTGGGTTTGAAGTTGTTGAGTGATGAGGGAAATCAGTGGAGCGTGAAAGGCGCGGGCTTGGGTTGTTTTGTTGGGGACTGCGGTGCCTTGGTCAAAGGCAAACGGAAGG